TGATATCCTGGCAGCAGCTGACTCTTGGTTAAATTTTTTGGGGAAATAAAAAAAAAAAAAAAAAGGAAAAAAAAAAAAAAGAGAGATTTGGGGGAGATTGGTGCTCCAAAAATACAAAAAGGCATGGTCAGTGGCACGGACTTTTGGGGACTCTCTGCAACATGCCTTGACTAGGGGGAGATATAAATATATATATAAATATATATTATTATGAATCTTTCTGGGGGTTTTTTTTTTCCTGCTTGGTTTGAACTGCCACGAGTGCGCACGGAGCAGGGGAGGGACAAAGCGCCATGCCCGCCAGGAAGCAAAGCCACCCCCCCTCCCCTCCTCGTTGTGTGATCCATGTTCAACTTACCTTGGAATGCTTTGTTATTAAAACACTCTGAACATCCTTCTGCATCCGGTTCTTCATCCCAGCAGGGCCCCTCAGTGGATTTTCCGTGGATTTTCCGTGGAGTTGGCGGATTGGTACCAAAGACATCCCTGGTTTGCTGGCCAGGCAGCTCTCGAGGCGTTTTTCTCCTGCTGAGGTTTCTATGATTTGCACAGGGAGAAGGGTGTGGGGAGGGAGGTTAATTTCAGGTTTTATTTCCTTTTCTCCCCCCCAAAAGGTTTTTTCCGTGCAATAAAGCTTCCGAGTGAAATTTCCCCACCGATCTCAAGAAGGAAACAAACTAAACCACATTTTAGCATGGGCGGCCTTCGCGGCTTTTCCCGCCCGCCGGGCCTGGAGGGCTCAGCCCCTCTCTGAGGGTGACCTGAGGGGAAGGCTGATAAAAAAAACCCCATCCCAAATTCAGGGGGGCATCCCCGAGGTGCCAGCACAGCTCCTGTCACCCTCTGGGACCGCAGACCCCAAATCCCTGCAGGGTTTTTGTCCCTCTGTGGGGACACCTGGACCTGCATCGCTTCTGCTCCGTCCCCAAGCCCTCGTGGAGCCCCCAAAACGCTCCTCTACACCCCCAGATTTCCCCTTGGGGCACAGGGATGTGGAGGAAGCTTTTTCCTGCTCCTTTTCCACCCAAACTGGGGGATTTTGGCACCTCTTCCTCTCCAGCATTCCCCCCTCACCCCGACTCTGCTCTGTCCCGCTCCCCAAATCCCTCAATTTTCATCCAGCAAAGCCCATGGCTAAAACTGCCTTTAGTTTCTTTCCTCCCCTTCAATAAATATATATATATATACAGTCTGAACTCAACATTTATGTGTGTGTATATATATTTATCCAATGCTCTCACAAAACAAAAACACTTTCTTTTGAAGAGGGCACGTGGAGCTGAGTTTTTCTTTTTTTTTTTTTTTTCCCAGTAACTCAGTATAATAAGCACTGGTATTTTTATATAAAAAACGGGAGGAAAAAGAAAAAAAAAAACCAAAACAAAATACAAAACAAAAGACTGAATATTATGTGGTATGCATGACATTAAAAAACAAAACAATGGTGGTTTCAAAGCAATATGTACCCTGGTGTGTTTGCCATATCCTAGAGTCCAGCTTAAAGTGCACCTGATCTGTATTGCATTTTGATATTAATCTCTATGTACAATGTTTTGCATGTAATTTATATGGATCTTGGGAGAAAAAAAAAACAACAAAATAATCTGAATGAATTGTCTGTTGGCTTCTTCCGAGAAAACAGACTCCAAGCAGAGATAAATACTCCAAAGTGGAAGCAGCAGAGTGGTTGAGGGGTGGGAAAAAGTGGTGCAGTAAAAAAAAAAAATGGAGAAGGAGAAGGGGAACGGTTTGGAATCAATAAAGCTTTGGCTGTTGAGCAGAAACAATGCGAGTGCATCCAGAGAATAAAATGTGCCCACGTGTAACCGTGCCGTGCTCCGTGTGTCCGGCAGCTCGGGGAGTCTGTCCCAAACCCTCCCCGAGGATCGGCTCCATCCCGGTGGGGTGGAAAGAGGGATGGGGATCCAACCCCAGCTCACCTCAGCGCGGGGTTTCTGTCATTTGGTTGCTTCTTCTTCCACCACCTCCAAGTAAAATCCCCCAAATGCCACCAGAAAGGTGCTGCTGGGTCCTGAGGGGCCGCGCTGGGTCCAGGATTCTCCTTTCCCCATTCCTGGCTGGCTTTGGTGGAGTTGGGATTTCCTTCCAAACCCAGAGTCCTTTCCCTACAAAGAGGAATTTTTTTTGTCCAGAAAAGAAGAGGAATGGGAAATAAAATCAACCAGCCCCTTAAATCCTCTCATTCCCAAGCATTGATTGCACTGTAGCTGTTTTTTTATGGAGAAGAAGCATCTTCTCCAGTCTTCTCCAGTCTTCAATACCCCAGGGCCATGATGAGGAAATCGCAGTGGGCTGAAAGAAAATTTAAACCCAAACATCTCCAAGTTGAACCTTGGAGCTGATTCTGAAGGACAAGAACAGGGTGTAAAACTTTGTTGTTCAATGTCACCCTTCTTCTCTTCCCTGCTTTCCCAAGGAGACGTCCATGGCCACAGCTTTTAAATAAACATAACAGCCACAATGCCTTTTTTTTTTTTTTTTTTTTTTTCTTTTTGGTAACCATAATCCGGCTCCATACAAAGAAAAAAAAAAAATCCTAAAAAAGGCCTGGGAACTCAAAATACCTTCCAGTTTGGAATTCTCATCCCTGAGGCGGCGTGAGGGAGAGGACGGCACCGCCGCGGCTGAGGGCAGCGGGGCTCTGGCAAGGACTGGGGACAATTCTCGGGACATCGGGAGGAATTTAATCATGGAAAGGGTGGCCAGGCTTTGGAAGGGGCTGCCCGGGGAGGTTTGGAGTCCTCCTCCATCCCTGGAGGGGAAAGACTGGCCATGGCACTGAGGGCTCTGGGGGTTCGGGAAACAACTTGATCCTGCAGGGATTTCCCAACCTTAATTCTCAGGGTGCAGAGTAGGGTGAAGAACAACGATCCTGTTCGCTTCACAGAGAAAAGCTTTACCCTCACTTCTGAGGCTTTTGGAAGGATTTTTGAAGCGCGGGTGAAGCGAAAGCACAGTAAAACCCGCCCCCGCTCCGCCTCATGGCTCCGCCCGCCCTCTCCGTCGGGAGGATGAAGCCATTTCCGGCCGCCATCTTGGCAGAGGGCGCGTTGAGGCTGCGCGCGCGCCGGGCGCCATCTTTGAGCCGGGCACTGGGGACACGGCGGCGGCGGCGGCCCCGGCGGAGCGCGGCGACAGCGACACGGCGGCCCCCGGGGGCTCGGTAAAACTCCCCGATCGACCGTAAATAGAGCGCTTCGGAGCCCCGCGGCGGCTGGTGGGAGATGGGGGGACGCGGAAGGGCGGAGGCGGCGGTGGCGGTGGTGGGGGGTGCTAGCCCAGCTTCGGCCCCAGCCCCTCCACAGGCCGCGCGTCCCCCGAGCTGTCCCCACAGCGTCGGGGGTGAGGTGGGATGAGGTGGAATTAGTGGGATTAGGTGGGAATAAAGCCGGGATAAGGTGGGTTTCCTGCTCCCGGGGGCTTTGGGGAGGGAGGGGAGGGCTGCGTGCCCGGGGTAGGCCCGAGGCCTTTCCTTAGGGCTTGTTCCCCCCCCCCCCCTCTAAATTAGCGCTCCCAACGCAGGTGCTTTATAAATCTCCTCAATTTCAGGTAAAACCTCGTTCCTTCCTGTTGTAGCAACGCGTCTAAAGGGCATTTCTAATGTAGTCACCTAATTACTCCTCATTCCCTAAAGGAACTTCAGGAGCTGAGTAACTCTGGATGCAGCCGGGCTGAATTCCTCCCGTAGGTTGTTAAAACAACGCAATTCGGTGAATTTTTGGGGGTTTCTCTTGTTTTAAAGGTTGGAGCTGAGAGGTTTCTGCTTTCTGATGTCGAATTTTGTTATGGAAACGCCAAAAGGAGTAGGTTTTTGTTGTTGTTGCAGGGATCAGAGCCTCCAGGTTATTCCCAGAATTGCACTCAGGGTCACACTTGCTATGGAAAACCCGGCTTTATTTGGCTGTAAAAAAAAAAAAATAAGAGGTTTCTTGGTGAATAAAGGATTTTGGGGTTGAATTTGGGCACACCTGAAGTAGAGCAGATGAGCTGGAGGTGTTGCTGGATGTGTCCAGGAGTTTTCCAGGTAAAACTTCCTGGTGTTGTCACTTCCCGGCTCCAATGACACTTTTCCAAGGTGAAATCCAGGGGAAATCAAGTCTTTCTTGGGATTTAATGATTTAATAAAATATTCCCGTGAGAGGGAGGAATTGTCATAGGAAATTGCTGCCAGGCTCTGGGGTTGAGCTCAGAAATACAGGGGAGGAAAATAAGTTTATTTTCTTTAATTATTCCTGTTTTATTCAAGAATGGATGGAGCAGCAGGTTTGGGATTGATTCCTGAGGAGGGTAAGCTGGAGGACAGTGAATAAAATGGCTAAAAAGGGAGTTAAAATATGGAATTCCCGGTGCTTTTCCTTCTTTGCCACCTGATAAACAGGAGGTGAATCATCAAATGGCCTTGTCAGGAATTCAAGGCACAAATGAAGCAGCAGGAGAGACTTTTCCAGGGAAATCTGGGGGCTTTAAATCCAAGAATTCCTCGCAGGGAGGTGCAGGAAAACTTCTGTTGGGTGTGTTTATTTATTTTCCCTTTAAAATTAAAAAGTTCGTGTTGTTTTGGCCCAGTTTTTGCTGACCCTCAGCTGCTGCATTTTTTATTTGATTTTTTTACAAATGATTGGTTTAAAAATATTTTACTACAAAAATTTTAATGGAATTCTGGACAAAAAAAGAGTTTAAAATTCTCTTAAATTGATACAAGACCTGCTCAGTGCACCAGAGTTACTCATTTTTATTCAGATTTTATTTTTAAATTTTTTTTTTTTGATTGCCACCTTGACACCAGTTTAAAATTAGAGAGAAAAAACCGGTTTTTAATGAACCTTTTAATAATTAAGTTACCTTGATGGAGTTTAGAACTTTGAGGGGTTTTGGAGGGGGGGGGGGGGGGGG